ACGGTGCTTCTACCGCCGGGGGTCATGATACATAACAGCCGCTAAACGCGGCTGCATGAAAAAGAAGGACGAGGTGAGTTTTTGATTGATGCTTGACTGGTCACATCTTGCTCGTCGAGTTCTGTGCGTTATAAACAGATTATTAAAGAAGTTACTCGTAATAATATAAATAGTTTGCCGTTTGAACGTTCAATGAGGTCCCCTTCGGTGGCTTCGTGGTTAACGCCTAGCATTCTCGACGCGTTTGTCCCACGTTCGATTCCGCGCACCGGAGTGTTTGTTTCTGATTTTTTTCTTTCTTGCGTTTTCACACAGACACACACACACACACACGCACGTACATATATATATATATATATATATATATATATATATATATATATATATATATAAGGGAAAGAAGTGTATACTTAAGGGCTCGTTTTTCCGTGTTTTGACAGAATATTAATGAGATCTAACAGACAATGTTACTGTCTGTTAGATCTCATTAATATATATATATATATATATATATATATATATATATATATATATATATATACGTACATACGTATACATATACGGTGCGTGATGCCGACGCCAGCGGCGAAATACAGCCCAGACTGTTTTCATCATTGCCATCGCAATAAAAGCAATTTTAAGGTGACGTTGATAATTTATTGTGAATTCCAGGCCGTGTGCTCGACTACCGATCAGCAGCGTTTTCTGACCATGCTCAAAAAATGTTGCACGGCCCCTTTGAGATTCACGTTGAAGAATTGAATGCTACAGTGATATTCGACATTTCCGTGACACGTTATCTTTCATTTGCTCTGATCTCAAGTAACGAAACCACGTTAATTCCGTGACGCAACATTCCTTTTTTGTTCGTAAGTCCGACTTACCTGTTGTTGTTTGTCGTTACATGCAGTGTTCAGTTTTTGCATTGCTGCAGTGTTACTTGCGAAGTTCTGAGTATCTTGTGCCCTTTGTTCCTTTGGTATTTCCACGTTTTCACTACGTCACTCTCCACGTAAGCACACGCACGCACGAACACATATACACATCGTACTGGTATTTACTTTCACTTCACTTCACTTTATTACATTATTACCTTAAATGTAATACATTTGACCAAATGTATTACATAAGTGGTGGGGAACATACAACAAATGTAATACATATGCAGGAAGGGTATAAGTATGAACAGGGGTAAGCAATACAGAAATAAATAATACATGTGCAGGATCAGTATACAAATTAACAGGCGTAACACCTTGCAAAAAACAAAGCGAGAACCAGCGGCACAAAAAGGAACAATGTAATGTATTCAAATTGAAAAGAAACGAGTGACATATTGTGTAAATTTTGAGTGGCACCTTATGGTGGCGAGATCAGAGGAAAGGCCATTCCAGTCGGAAGCTGCACGAAAAAAGAAGGAGGCGGAAAATGTTGTGGTACGGGCACGTGGCCGGCCGACATGAAAGGAATGAGTGGTGCGGTGAGATGTGCGAGCAGGAGGCAAGATATAGGGCGGGAGGCCGAGTTGACTGTGATAGAGCTTGTGGCACAAAAATGAGGCTGGCAACTTGGCGACGAAGGTCGCCAAGTTGCCAGCCTCATTTTGACTGTCTCTAGAATGACTTTTGTCTCTAGAATGACTGTTTCTAGAAGGACAAGTTGCCAGCCTTAATGACTGTTTCTAGAATGATTTTCAGTCATTATAGAGACAGTCATTGCGAAGGGCATAAATATTGTTAGTTGTTCTATGGCATACCTGGAGGATTGTTTTCTGCCCTCTTCAACGGCGATTTATAAACGCCACTGTTTCATTCATGAAAAGTACGAATGTATTGTTATTGCTTGTACTTACTCTGGAACTTTCACAATCTGCAATGCTGTAAGCATTGCTTTAACTTACAATGCCCTACGTGAACGCCAATTTGAGAATTTCTGTATATTTGAAAGTGTTCGTGTCTAGGCCTACGAATACAAATAAATAACGTAAAAGATGATAGCCCTGTATCATTTAAGGGTTGGTACAATTACTATGCAGACTTGTTCGTGAAGCGAACGTAATACGTTTCTTGCTGGTTTGACTTCATTCGAGGCTTCGTTAAGGTGTTTAGCCTTACTGGCCATGCTGTTATAGGTCACACTAGCCAGGTGTAAGTTACGTCAGATACAAGTGCCCAGTGCCCCATGTTTAAAAAATGTCTCTCAAACACTTGAGCTTGATTTAGCGTACCCTATAACCAGGACGGATGCCTGCCAAATACAGACTATCTTGGTTTCACACTTCGTTTCTCAGCACCGAGAACACTGCTTCTTTGCGAAACATCGTGTGATTTCTCGTAAGTAGTTTGTCCTGAAACTGATCAGAGGACCAGCTGGCCGTGTTAGGCAAGCGAAAAAATTGTGGACATGACTTACGCCGATGAAACCTTTGGTCCTAGGGCACAGCACTCCATTCTAGGTTTCCGCCAGCTCTCACTTCACTGCCAGACGTTTCGCATAATAGCCAGGAGAGAATAAAGAGGTACTTGTTTGTACTTCACAATGAGTGCGCCGATATTTGGCCAGGTTGCACAACGTGCTCTTGTTGTGGCTCGGCTGACCCTCGCAATAGCCCCTACTAATGAGTCGCATCACGCAACACAACCGGCGAGGGATCACAGCCACTCCGCCGGCGCTGCAAACTCTACCGCTCTCCACGAAACGCGCTCTGTATTTCGCGTTTTGACCAAATGTTTTAGGCGTAGACTTATAGCCCGAAGATAAGCACTTCGTCTTAGGCTTAACAGCGTGGCATCAAGTGCTCTCTCGATTTTTAACTGCATGACTCAAACGTAGTTAACAAGTGTAGAAGCTTGAAGTTATGCTCAGCGATGCAGCGGCTGGTGGTCTTGGTTGCTGCCCTATTCGTGCTTGAGACTGGAATTGTTCGTGAGTCGAACTTGGATTCTTTACTCAATGCGAACAAGGATTTTTTTCCGATGATACTTCAGTGCTTCTGTTTGAGCCTACCACTACTTGTACATACATGCTTGTATGACCTGGCGGAGCGCCAAAACATGGCAGGGGTACTTATCCGTCGCATAAGACATGTTATGGTGCTCGCAGTATTTTAGTACAAAGGCACTCTCGGCATTTTTCTGTGTTGCAATGTGTTTTTGTGTAATCGCGATGTCGTCGTGCGGGAGGCAAAGATCCTCAGTCACACCCCGTTGCCTGGCCCCTCATAGGTCGGAAAAGGTAGTGTTTGTAAAGCATATAGGTTTTTGAAGGCAAAGTCTATACAAGTGCCATGATAGGTAGTCACAGTACCTCTGGATACTTTAGCTGAGTGCAAGGCTTGACTTGTTCATCTTGTGAGCTTGAGCATGAAGCTTTCACACACCAAAGAGGATGAGTGGGAAGTCACATGACTTTTTTTGAAGGTCGGAAATGTACGGTGCCGAAACTGCCAAGGTCTTTTGAGATCAAGCAGATGCCTACGCACTATTGTCTAGAGTCATAATAACTTGTTTAGCACTAGTGCTATGAGCGCTGAATGCTCAACACGCACGTCTTGCACATTTAGGACCGAGAAGAATGTAGCATCGCGTAATGTCACACGTCATCAAATATTGAAGGGCACTTATGTCATTTTACATTCCGTAATATATCTTATGCAGTTTTGAAGGCTTAAACAATGTTTGAAAACGCGTATGACAAACTGTTTGTTGATAAGCAGCGCTTGTTCTTTCTTTAGAGCGCCTGATCTCTTTTTAGATGTAGCAATTATGCCTGCTCAGACGTAGCTCTGTAAACAATGTTACGTGTTTAGATATGAGTGCGTTTTGTACAATAGCGTTTACTTCAATAATGTTTTGCGAACCTGCCTTATCACCGGTCATTTTGAGATAACTTGCATCTTTGAATTTGTTTGTTCGTCTAGAGAACGGTCTTGCATTCGCTGATCTGTTGAAAGAACACACTCTTTTTCTGGTCTTTCATTGCAGTAGTCAAGGCTCAAAGAAGGCAAAGCTTTTGCACCCTTCTGCCAAGTTCAGGAAACTGCTACAGCCATTACGTACTCTACTTCTACGACACCATGTTCCGCAGGTGCAGAAGATTTGTGTACGGAGGTTGCGGCGGAAACGCGAACCGATTTAGAACACTCCGGATATGCCGACGCATTTGTGAAGAAGCTGACCAAGCGGATGACATGATGAAGTAGCGTATGCGGCCTGCAGGCTACTAATAATGAAATGACATTGTTATAAAACTGGCTTGCTTTTGAAGAAAAAAAAATAGAATACGCTAAACTTCTACCTTCCTGACGCTTCTTGACTGCCTTAGTGATGATACACTGGTGTAACGTTTTGTAGTTGCAGAACTTCATAATTCTAAGCTGAGGCGTGCCACTCCAGTCACTTTTATGTTTTTTAGACATCGCCAAAGTTTATGAAGTGCTCGGCAAAACAAAAAAGAATTTAATGACTCCAGTCGTAGTTGAACAAAGGCATTTTGTGGTTCTCGCACAAAGTATGCAAGAAAATGAACATGGCTTATAACTAAAGCCATCGTTTAGACAAGCGCTTTCGTATTTATTAAGGGTGCGACTTGAAGACAACTTCGCTGCAATTTGAAGTTGCAGCCTTGAAGAGTACAATGCCACTCGCAGAAACTGCCTCAGCGACCCCTCGTAAACTAGATTTTTTCATAGTTTCACGCTTCTGTCATCTCCTGGACTGCTGCCTTTTGCAAAATTATGTGCGCGCATCAGAATGCTCATATATGTGATACTTGTTACACGCAGTGAATGCGTAACATGTGCATATGCAAAAGAGTGTGCATATGCGCATATGTTACGTATGGTGGTTGTGCCACATGCCTTGGAGCATTAACTATACGCGACCATTGTTTGTAACAAACAAACAAACAAACAAACAAACAAACAAACAAACAAACAAACAAACAAACAAACAAACAAACAAACAAACAAACACAATAAAGTAAGGGACTAGCAACAGCAATTGAGACACACATGCAAGGCCCTTAGAAGGATTTATTTTCGTATAAAACAATAAAATGTTGGTTTTCTGTGACTTCACGTGGAATACCACTGAGATGATAATTACATCGTTCCACCTGAATGTGCAAGAAGTGAGTGCTTGGTGAGCAGACAATAAATAATGCTGCACCTCGCTGTTCGGGGTTGCTATACATTACGCAACCAAGGCTACATTCATGGCATGTAAGCGCGTGAAGGGGAACCGAGACGAAGCTAGAGTCAATGGCGGAAGTCGAGCCTTCCTGTGATGAAGTTGCCGAGTGCACACTCGTCTTCCGAAGTGAGGTACTCCTCGGCAAGTTCGCAGAAGTAGTCGTAATCCAACTTCCTCGTGTCGTTCTAAACAAAAGAACATGCAGCGCAGAGGTGAGACAAAGACCGCTCCCTATTTCGAACGATGCCAATGTGCAAGTGGTGGAGGACTTGCACACACATGCAAAAAGTTTCGCACGCCCTGTGCCTTATTTATTAAACAGGCTCGGTAAGCATGTGGGTTGTATTAGGTAATAGATTATCAGTGTACGTAATTGTTTCAGGTGAGACGCGGTGCCAAGAAACGCGTATTGAAGTACGAGATGTTGTTGAACTAGTAGTTTATAAATACAGCAAACACGTTCAAACTGTGTGTGCGCGGGTTTCATTGTTCTTACGTATTGCCTTCTTCGAGCAGTTGAAACGTGTTTGCTGATTGTTTTGCAGGTTGGTGCATAGCTTGCATATCTGCGGGCATTTTAAAAGTATACTGATTACTGTTGCAAAATATTGAGTGTCCAAATAATGAGTCCCTCAATAAATATATATTCAAGAAAGGTATTCATAAAGTTCGAAGAAAAGGATTATCAGCGCGAATTGTGTCAGGCCTAGCAACACGCTCAAAAGAATCTGATCCTGCACAGTTATAGAAGTACTAAGAAGCGTATAAAAAAAGAAAAGGGCCAACCTCAGTCATAATTAGGTAACATTGCCTGGACTGCCTTTGGGGTATACCGAAGTCCTCCAGTACGTAGCTAAATTCGTCGCTGTCTATTACACCATCGCCTGCAAACGAACAAAGCGGCATGAATAACGATAATAGGGTATTTATCTGAGCATCTCTATATGCATGCGTGTGTGAGAGGAAGAAGCGCGGCGGGTCGCAATTTCTGGTCCTCTTAGGAGGGTGCCAAGTCCATCTCACACCTCTACTCAGTAAGACCTGTCCCGTCGTGGCCTAATGTGCATGATTATGACCATGCAGCTTTTGGACAAGGACCCCTGATGTTGCATTCGAAAACCAATTTTATTTCGACCTCTAGCCCCCCCGCTCCTGGAAAGCTGGTGACAGCAGCGCTTTATTGCTTCATGTTAGTCTTTGTATTCATAGAGAAGCTTATTTTCTTTCGCACTCTTCCAACGGGGGGATGGGGTGGTAAAAAACACGTCCCTACACTCCCTACCCATCCACCTGTAGAGAACCCTCCGCACGCCTATGCCCACCCATCGCCCCAAAATACCCGGGCAGAGACACACGCACAAGCTCCTGCACATGTTCACCGAAAACAGGCTCATAATGATGTACCCTCACATGTAGACAAAATCCGCAACACTTACAGCCCACACAGGTGGCATACCCTTTCGCATAGTTGCACCGGAAAGAAGATGAGCACAATATGAGCATTACGGTTTTGGAATGTCATGAGGAAGCGCACACTTCAGAGACGACCGACAAGAGTATGCGACACACGCAAGCGCTTCTGTTGTCTGCCATCTCTGTCCGCCTTGGTGGAAACGTGGCTGGGGTGCTCGGCTGCTGACCCAGAGGTCAAGGGTTCAATTCCGGCCGTGAGGGTCGCATATAGATGGAGGCAAAATGGTAGAGGTGCATGTACTGTGCGATTTGAGTGCACGTTAAAGAACACCAGATGGTTCAAATTTTCGGAGCCCTGCACTACGGTGTCTCTCATGACCATATTGATTTTAGACGTAAAACCCCAGATATTATTGTTACGTTTGTCATCTCTCAAGTTTGAACTATCGCAGTTTCAATGGGGCATCAACTAACCCAAACACGTGCTTTGCTAAGTCACAAAAAAGGGTTCATTATATGCATTTTCGTTATTAAAGGATCAGTTGGAAGTAAGTGCATGTGTTGCCACCACCACCCTTTGTCCTTGGTTGCGCAACGCTCAAGTGTTCTGCGATAACGAACCAACCCGCCGAAATATCAGTGTTCTAGCACAAATGACCGGGGGTCGGAGCGGCGAAATTGTGACACGCGGCGCTGCTGTGCCCCAGTACGCTAACAGTGAGAGTGCCAAGCACATTGAAATTTCTAAAGCGGGGTAGTCGGCAAAAAACAGCCCATCTTGCTGTAGGCCTATCGGAAGGCCCACATCTGAACGCCTGTTCATTCCTTATCATCAGACTTTGCTATGCACAAGATTTTACTTTTTCTTTTATCCCTGTCTTTTTTTTTTGTCCGCATGTAGTTATCAGCCCCTGTATCTCTATCGCAGTTGGCCCGAAAAAGTTGCTTGTAGGCGTGCCTTCTGCCGGCCACCCCTGCTTTGGAAAATGAAAAATCCTGCTTGACCCTTTTCCAGGGAAACGACAGCGCTGCGTGCCCCGATTTCGCCGCTCCGGCGACTTGTTACTTTTGCTAATATTTTTCCGCTGCGGCAGTGCGATTTTAAAACGTAATAATGACCATATATTTTTAAAATTTATTCACTTCACCGAACATACGAAAACCATCGGACGCCGCGCGGCCGAGGGCCACTCACCTGTCCTATCGTACATGTTGAAGCGGAACCAGAGGTAAGTGACAAGCCATTTTGGCGCGCCTTCTTCCTCGTCCTGGCTTTCTAGCTTTGTGCGACGTTCCCAAAGCTTTATCTGAAAAGCGAAACTAGAAGTTGTTATTAAAAAGATGAGATGCTAGTCATGTGCTTGAGCGCTGCCTTAACGTGCAGCCTTGAGAAAAAGCGACATTCATGTATCTTTGCTGTCCGCGCCGTCTATTGGTGAGCCGTCTGCTGTCGAGAGCATTTCTCTGACAAATTTTGTTAGAGAAATGCACTCGACAGTAGATGGCTTGTGACTTGAAGGCGTAGGGAGCCATTTTGACTCGCCCTCATGCGGCCTGTGTACTTCATGCTACGTGGCAAGCTTCCTGTTGGGGCTCCACGGAAAAGTAACAACTAAAAGTCAACAGATAGGAATGTTTCATTTTGATCTGTAAAATATGGCCAGTAAAGTTCTGCATAACACTGAAAATATCTACAGCTTCATTAGACACTAATGACTTTGTGACACAGGAAAAATGGAATGTTTATACTGATCTGTAACGCGAAGTAACATCACATGACTTTCCGTGAATAAAATGTTTGCACGTAATTACTTGCATGCGTGAATTGCACAAAATCAGGGATGAAATTACTTGCGTCCAGTGTGAGTGATTGAGTAAGATATTGACAGATATCGAAAACGAACAGAGTAAGCTTGTGTACGGCACGCTTAAGGTTTGTGTTTCGCAGTGGTGTAAAGGCGGGATGCGTTGTGCAAGAGGGCATGCTTTCATTGTCCAAAAAGCCCTTGAACCCTGGTCAAAATCCAACAAGTCGATGTTAGGTACCAATACTGCAAGGAATTTTCTCGCCTTAAATGTCTGGATTAGTTTTTTGTGAATCCTAAATGTTTTGTTCTTTTTAAGGGGGTCCGCACATGCTTGCGTTCGTATAAATTTTTACGTTTCCTAAAATAATATTTGTGATCAGCGACATTGATTTGTTATTGTTTTGTCATTTTCTGAAGACTTCGAAAGTATTTCGCAATTCAGTTCCCGTAGTTTTCTATGCTCAGTTTTTGATAACAAAAATGCTGGAATAAAGTTACGTGTTCTGTTGAGATTTTTATATTCCTCAGCTGAGAAAGAAGAGCAGTAACCACCAGTGAAATGGATCTCACCATGTGTTTTCCTACGGATTTCACATCTATTACGTGGCCCAGTTTGTAGTTAAGGCAAAGCTATGTTAGGCTTATCCTACCCATTCTTCGGAGGTGATCCTTTCGTCCGAGTCGCAGTCGGCATCCTCCCTAAGCAGCGTCCATATTTCATCGAAGAGCTCCTTCGTCTTGTCGAACTTCGGACACCCCTCTTTCCAGCCGTTCAGCCTGCATATGTGCTTGGTATAAAAAAGCACCAAAGTTAGACGGGATAGGACATTGCTTGACCAAAACAAAGGGACTTATGTGAAGGATTGCGTCCCGACTTTGGAAAATATTTCATTTCCTGTGGTAAAGACCTCTCTAAACTTAAAGTGGATGAATACACGGTGCGCTGAAGTACTTGAAGTAACTTGAAGTTAGGTTTATTTTGCTTGCTCAGACAACCCAACGCAGTAAATAGGGTAGTTTTAGAATGGAAAAGTTATTAAAGGGCTCCTAAACCACTCGTTGATAAGAGGTGGTTTCTTTCCCATTTTCACTACCCTTCATACGGGTGCAGCTTCCTCCTCGTCCCTCTTATTTCTTCATAATAGATGTGCACAGCATTAGGATCAAGCGTTTGAAAATATCAGTATTTCGTGGTTTTCGGCTGCACACTGTTACCTGCGCTTTCGCTGTAGAAAACGCGCTAAACGAACCGAAATCTATTGATCGCGTGTGATAGTCATGCAAGACGATAGAATGGTTGACGAAGCAGGGTAGGATACAGATAAAAGTCAATATTCCATATTTCAGTATGATCTCGCGTTGAACAGACTGCCAGCGTCCCGAATCGCACCGAAAAGGCTAGCGGAGTATAACAAGCCGTTTCATTGTGTTTTCAAAGGTCGAACGTTCGGGGCCCTTTAAGGACAGCTTGTGACAGATTGCGTTATTGCGTAGTCTGCGTTCAAATTCTTGAGGTGGCGGATTAGAACGGAAGGTTGAAATGCATAACGAAGTGATTAAGCAGTTTGTTAATTTATATCTGAGAAAATTAAATTACGATACATATAGGTGGCATTAATAGTCACGGAATGGTCATCGCGGTTGCTGGTCACCCGAAGAATAGCGCACCTGGAGTGAAATGTGACGGCTGCGTGAATTAAGATGTTGTGCCGTCCAACCTACCGGGAACATTAGCACGCCTTTCACGGGCGTCTACCCGTGAATATTTTTTTTTGTAAATACGATTTTAAGAGTGAAGCCACTCAAATAGGTGGATCAAAAGATGACTGCACCCTTGCGCGTTACTTTGCAGCGCACCTTTTACCAGCTGCACGAAATTTGTGAGCGAAAACGTGTCAGGCTGAGCGACTGGACAAAAAGTAGTTTATTGCTTTTCATGTTGTTGTGCTGCAAAAAGACACGCGGCGTCACTCCATTTAGTTTATACGTACAGGAAACAGGATTCTGACGTAGTGATTTTGGCGCATTCTGGAAATGGCTGGGACAGTGAATTGTGTACGCGGGGAAAAGCCGGAAACCCACTAATAGCGTCCACAGCTCGAGAGATCAAGGCAACGTATTTCGTCATCAGCGTGACTACGTCCAATGCAGGACAAAGACCTCTCCCATGTTCCGCTAGTTAACTCGGTCATGTGCTTGCTGCTGCCAATTTATACCCGCAAACTTCTTCTTCTCATCTGTCCACCTAACCTTCTGTTTCCCCCTAACCCGATTGCCTTCTCTGGGAATTCAGTTAGTTACCCTTAATGACCAGCGGTTATCCTGTCTACGCGCTACATGCCCGGCCCATGTCCATTTCCTCTTCTTGATTTCAACTGTTTAGGGCGTATTTAGGTCAAGGGTAATGCCTTTAGAAAATCCAGCTATAAAAAATGTTGCTGCGCGTCGACCTCAACGAAAACACGCGCTTTCTCTCTGCCTCGTAACATCAAAACGCCACATAAATTACTTTAGCCCAGAGAATACGCAGCGACAGCTGCGGGTGTTTTCAATAGACACGAGTGATGCTTCGTGGGTGCGTCATGCTTCTACAAAAGCGGGCATCATGTGGGTGCTCTTAAAAATGCGAGGCATTTTGCCGAAAGCAAGCTGGTAAATCAGGCGGTTTTTTGTAAAAATGCATTAAAACATTTGAGCTGAAACCGAAAAAAAAACAAACTAACGAAAATGCAAAACCCTTGTGATGTTGACTAGGACACAAGTACGGCCAGGCTATAGAGCGGCACGTGCGCACATGTGCGTGCCACTCCTATAGCCCGGCTGTGACATGAGCTATTCCACAAAACTATAAGGACAAAATAAACACTGGGCACTTTGTAAATTAAAAAAAAAGAGAAAAGATTGCACACATTGTGGGAAGTCTATCGCTTGCACTCGTGCCATACGAGCACAGCCCAATGTTTGCGAACTGTTGGTTAATTCATGCTGGTATTGGTCGAGCGCCAGCTTTACCTGAGTAATGTTGGCAATCCGTTGTTTTCGTTAAGTGCGTCGCACATTTCGGTTTCCAGTGGAGAAATACGCAGCTGCTGTTTTTTTTTGTTATTTTTGTCGTGTCCAAGCCAGCGTCAGCTGTATTACACTTTGCTGACGTTGGACAAAATGCTTGTTCCAGCGAAATGTCTTCCCGTAAAGTTTTGGAGTTTAGCAAATTGCTTAAAGATCCATGGCGACGGTTCGCACATACATAAATAAAGTGAATTGCAGAGGCAACGAGTCGAAGAGGCTAAAAAACAAAATACAGCACTTATTTTTCCTTCGAACAATTACTGGAGCAGACGGAGCCTATTCACCGGAACTTGCAATGCTTCATGAGCATCCAAATTTTTTAAATAATTTATGTCAGCTTTGTGACAAAGAGACGAAACAAAGAACAGGCTTGAAAATGTTGATTTACAGATCACGAGCCATTACTTCGACATCTCTTACGTGTGATTTTCTACTGACGTACACCTGGTGGTGTTGTCACGTAATTTTTCTGCTATAAACCACCTGCGTCAGGGTTTATACACGTGTGTTAGGATGTGCAATGGACGAATTAACCCGCTTATTCAAGTGGTCCAGGACACAACTCAATTGAATGTTGCCTAATACATACGGTATTTTAACCTTAATACATATGATGCCCTTGCGCCACTAAACAAAATATATCATCCACATGATCATAATTATCATCATCATTATTCAGTGGGAGGACATTGTCATGTAGGAATAACTGGCGCCGTTGGTCTTCGGGGCCCATGGTTGCGGTAATGTTTGCTTAAAGCAATAACTTCGAAGACCGAGAGACCGTAAAAGCTACGCCCCCCCCCCCCCCCCTCGCGTCGGCATCTATTCTTCAAGTGAATAAAATGTACTTAATAGCAGCAAGAGGGCAGTAGACAGAGGCCTAGGATAAAATATTTACCCTTTCAATTGTTTCTTGTGTTCTCCGCGCCTAGATTTTGAATTTTTCGCGCGAGGTTCTGCTTTTACTGAATAGTTCACAGATGGGGCTGCTAGTCCAAGAGAGCAGAGCTACTCGTTCGGTTGCGTGTTGTTTGTGAAACCGTTCATTTGTTTTTAAATTAAACATCTATGTTTTCATAGCAGTAGTAAAATGATGACTTTGTCTTATAGTCTATGTTGCGTGTATGACGCTGCGGGAGCTGTTTGTGTGGCACAAGACGCACCATATTGCGCCGCCTTTCCTAATGACGAGCGTTTATTTGCTGTTTGTAGCTTTTGTCTTCTATTCGGTAGAAAGGAGGAAGGAGGTTGTATTTGTAAAAAAAAACAAAACAAAACAAAACACACACACAAACACACACACACACACACACACACACACACACACACACAGAGAGAGAGAGAGAGAGAGAGAGAGAGAGAGAGAGAGAGAGAGAGAGAGAGAGCGTTTAGGACGTACCAGCCTGGCTTGGTTGAAATCGTCGATTGTTATGACCCCATCCTTGTTAAGGTCTGAAAAGGAACGATTGTTCATTTTAAAACAATAATATGTGTGCTATGGGTTTTCATTAAGTCAGAAAAGCAAGCTTTGTGAAACATAAGCAAGACTTAAGGTCAAGTTCCATTATTAAGCAGATGCCAATCCGAACTACCAGCTAAACAACAACAACAACAACAACAACAACAACAACAACAACAACAACAACAACAACAACAACAACAACAACAACAACAACAACAACAACAACAACAACAACAACAACAACAACAATTGTTTATTAACATTTTTCCAGTGACATTGATCTGTTAAGACTAGCACAACACTTTTAAATTCTGCTAAGTGAATAGCGTAAATTGAGAAACTCGTCTTATATAATGTTTTTTTTGTTTCATTGAAGAACATCGGGTTATCAATTGTATTGGATTCGATGTAAGTGCAGTTCACTTCAAAGCTTCATATGTTGTTAGAAGGAGTCGAACTAAAGCCATTCCAAACTATTTTCTCGAAGAGGTCTTGTAACACAAAACACCGGCTTGAAATGTCCTTTTCAATACTATAAGCGAATTCTACCGGACACACGTCCCGAAAATGCTGTGGCGCAGTCGTCGGGCGTTTCGTTTCGCGCTTTAGGCAAAAGCAAATGTGTCTATACCGCTGCAAGTTGCTTCTGGGTGAGCGCTGGTGTGAGCGCTGTTTGTTGTCGTGCAAGGAAGAAAAAAAAAAGCAATGTGCCGACGAGCTATTATGGTTATTTGCATGGCAAGGCACAAAATAGATGAAAGAAGCCTTGCTTTTTTTCAGTTTCCTGTTCATGAAAACCGTCGCAAAATTAGCCGCAGCTCTACAGAGTTCTTTTCTTTTAAGTGTTGTGGGGCGGCATAGCACACACGGTTACCTTAAAGGGCGTTAACATTGTGGATACCACTGTATCGGATTACTGTATGAACAAGCGTACGGGATAGGAATATTCTGGCTGCGGTTGACTCCACGAGATTTTCCTGTGTCATAATTAAGGTAAACAGCATTCTAGAAACTTGCCGACTCTGTTTACGGGCTGTATGCACGTGTTTTTTGGTCTCGCCCTGACCTTATGAAGAGAGCTGCGGACCAGACAGGTACGTAGCCGCATTATCCGCAGTATACATGTGAAGCATTATTGCAATCTATGGACTTAACTGGAGGAGGAGGGGGGGAGCTGGGGGTACAAACTTTTCTTCAATTTTTTTTTCTCGATTCAGCTTGGGTTTATATACAAGCGCACATACAAACTCATGCGCAAACATACATAAAGTAAGATTCATACCCCCCGAAAAATTTTTTTTGCTGCGCTTTTGGCGCAAGCGTATCATAAATGAAAATATCACCGAGATCACCCTTGTCGTTTGCATGAAATAACTTCGGCGCATTTGTTACATGTGGAAATTTACAGTAACGTTCATACCTATGTATTTGCACTCTGCGAATTTGCATAGCGCAGCCAAGCGACTCTTGCTGAGGTAGGTTGTTGTTTCATAAGTAAAAAAATTAACATTTGTTGCTTCATTAGTTAACAGAATAGCAGTTATACGTGCACAGGTTCGCAAAACTTGTGTAGACCACCCAGACTCACTCGTGAAACATATCTTGCTTTCTGATATACAGTACTCTCGAATACGAGTTGTTAGTGCTCGCAAACCAATTGAGTCATTTTTGTTGAAAGAGATGACAACATGAGATGGATTTATCAGTAACTTCGGTGGAAGAGTCGGTGAGGAGGGGAGGGGCAGAAAAAAATCAAGTCACCCGCTTATGTAACACAAACCTCTATATATTTAATTGGTGTATGAACGACACTCCTTTAGAAAACGTTTAAATGGACGTACGATGTGAATCCAAGTAAGGCTGACAGTAGTGCTGAATAGATAACATGTGTGACCTAGACTGCCAATATGGCGATGAGATTTCGCAAACGAGTCACATTTCCGCAGTTAAGATACCTCATGTTTCGATGAGGTTCTCAAGCTGGAGCTACACGTCACTATGACTCATATGTTGTGGCCACCGCTTGTAAACATGCGGAGGCACCACGACGTGTGGTGCTCAGAGGCAGTTTTTTTTTTGCACCTGCTGCGCTAGTTGTCACGTGATTGTGGAGGTCGGTAGTGAGATTTAGGCTGCGATGGCTGGATGGAGCCAACCCACCGTGACGTCACTACAAGGGTCATAAATATATCTACGGTGCCTACCCTGATTTGTAGTTACTGCAGTAGTACGTTGCATTCTTGGCAATTGTACCAATGTGCTTTTTATAGGCAGAGCACGCCATGAAGTGTAAATATCTCGACATCAGTGGTATGCAGGTCAGGAATACCAACATGCGCAATGACCTTTTCCTTTTCATGAAATAGAGTACATATTCTTGCTATTTTAATGAATTAACACAAAGTTCAATACATCATACTAATGAACCTTTTTAAGTATTGGGTTTTATGGCTGTACATGTCTGAGGCTTAATGCGCTGTGGTTCCATGCACGATCTATTTTTTGAGGAGTGTGAGATTTTTATGTAAATTTGACGCTGTTGTTTTTTTTAAATACGAGAAATGTCAGGTTAGAGCCTACTTAGGGGCTATCAACATCAAACAGAAGCCTTCATGCATGCTTCATTGATAGTTCGCATTGAGTGAATCAAGTAGTAACCTCTTGATACGGATCAAAACGGCTTATGGCAAGTGAATGCATACATCTCTTGAAAAAAAATTCCGATGACATTTTAAATACGTCATCACTAGCCATTCGAAGTCTTGTTGTTTCTTTCTCCCCCACTTTTTTGGAGAGGGTTGTTTTTATAGTTGCTTCCCAAAACTATAACATTGAATGATATCTCTGTAGCTACGACAGTGGAAGACAGATTGACCACGACGTCAGAAAAGCACCAATTTTAACGCAAAAAGAAGTACATAGGAAAATAATTTTAAACAGCCAAATATGGCAAGAACCTTTTCGTTTCGTTTCTTTGTGCACCGTTCAAAGCAATATTGCCGAATAAAGAACGATCCCAGTTACCCGAAATAGAGTCCACACCGCGGCTCTTTTGTCAACGAATCAGGCCGAATAGTGGGAATCACGGGCGGGTCACTACTGTGGAGGAGAAGCGTTGCTTAGATGAGGGGGGAGGTGGGGAATAACAATAATGACTAACAGTTGCAATAAACTTGTGGTTTGTCAGCGTAATGTTCTCGATATAATTTTCTCGACAATTACTTCTTTGTGCGTAGTGCACGACTAAAGTAAAGATAACCTATACGTGCTGTTAGCATGCCAGAAAAGTTTTGTAATTAAACGAAGTATGGTTGTACATACGCTGGGTAAATAATGTGGGAGTGCGCATTGCTAACACATAACCACGCGAGATTTTGGCATGCACCTAAGTTCCTAATGGGGAATCACAAACTAAGGTGATCTGCGCTAGCGATCCAGCTTTCTTGACGACAGCGGCTTAAAGGTGGTCAATAAGCCACGGCCATCTATAGAGCTAAAGATCACCTCTACGCACAGGAACTCGTTGAAGGCCAATGCCAGAACCACCCACATTAATGCATTGTTTTTAAATACAGCCTTCACTAACTGACCCACTCATCCTGTATTGATATGTGCCAGCACAAAGCCGTGATAAAAGAATCTATTAGAATCGGTTTTCCTGGTTGAAGTAGGCAAAGAAATGCTTTGAATAATAAAAAAGAGAGCACTGACTTTACCGTAGAAAGTGTTGAACTCGCAGAGCAGCTTCTTGCGTCGAAAACACGACACCCTGGGCTCCTTGGAACCGTGTACTTTCTGCAGCAACTGACCCATTACGACGTTTTTTGTTGGCACGGACACGGAGCACAAATGGCACCACCGGCAGCAGGTCGAGAAACGGCCCCAAGCTGCACCCTTCAACGCACCGTGGCTGTCATAAGGGCTCGCGGCGGGCCGTTCGACGTCGGCCACACTTTAACGAGTGACGAAAGAACTGCGCAGAAAGCAGCGTGTGTATGGCAGGGCCCGTCGGAACGACGCCGAATTCCAGTCCACGAGTGCGGCGACACCGACCGCGCAGTTGCGCTCCGCAAAGCCGTCCCGCTCAGAATGCGTGGCGTGTCATCGTAGCAGCAGGTAGAGGCCGCACTGCAATATAATGTCAAACAGACGATGAGGACATAATGGCTCGATGGCTGTGTTTGTGGCTGATCACACAGATGCGACATTCCACATGGAGGAGATGCGGTTGATTGGCGTCAGAGACTGACGTGGGGAAACATGATGTCGCAATGCATTCTTTGAAAGTGCAGGTGACGCATATATGAACACTTGCGCGTTTCAAATAGTTCAACGTGAAGGTACGTCGGTGCTTTAGCGAGCATTCATGAATCGCAGCTGTGGTGTAGCATTTGCTCATAGATTAAACGCACATGGAAGGGTGAGGATACTGGTCGAAATAGAAGGTGCACTGAGATGACAAAAGTTGTTAGACTGCTCACGATGTAATCAGAAAAAAAAATGTACTATTGAGATAACAGGTAATTTATTATGCAATAAAACAAACACGAGATAATAAGGAGGCTAAAAGCACTGGTGTTTAGTCGCATACAGGTGCACTTGTTGTGGTTATATTGTATCAAATACTTCGTTTTTTTTTCTCAGTGCTTCACGTTACTGACATTGATGCTGTCCCATAGTAGAGTACCAAATACTCAAAATCGTTGATCACTTTTTCTAAACACAGATTGAGAAAGATAGATCAAAAACTCGATAAGAAATATCTGCATACAGGTGGAATGAAATACACGATGTAGATTTGATGTAAGCGACCATTGTTCGCTAGGATGATGACGCGCAGTTATTAAGAATATTTACCAATCATCGCGCATATATCCCGAACCTGCCATAGTGTTCTAGTGGATGAGCCACTCGGCTGCATAGCCGTAGGTCGCGGGATCGAATCCCGGCCGCCGCTGCCGCGTTTTTGATGGAGGCGACACTGCTTGAGGCCCGTGTGCTTTATTAGGTGCACGTTAAGGAACCCCAGGTAGTCTAAATTTCTAGAACCCTCTTCTACGAAGTCTCTCATAATTCTATGGTGGTTTTGGGACGTTAAACTTGAACAATTATTATTAATATACCGCTTTCAAAGTTTATTCTAAAAAACATAACCGATATGTCAACTTGTCGCCTTGAATGATTTTAACGTGCTTGCTGTGTTGTAAACACCATCATATAATAAATTATTTTTTATGGTGAATGTATGAAAAGTAGGTTACGTAATTGAGGGCTTGTGAGACAGTCGAAGGGATAGAAATAAGTGAAATAAGTCTAACCGTGGCAAGTTGCACTTGCGTTTTTTTGAAGACACGATTTGCCATTGGGGTGCTAGCCATAGATTTAGTGCGAGCGCAGGAGTTGTTATTTGTCCAAGCTAAGTCCCAACATGGTTAAGGCCACGTAACCACTTGCCCTGTAGCTGGTTCCAGCCGCTATAATTCTATATACGTATTGACGAATACAAAGAAGGTGAGAAGGATGATCATCATCGTTGTTATAATTAGTCGATCTAGAGTTTTAAAGTATTCAGCAAGCAGGTGAAGGTAACAGGAGAAAAAAAAGTGTTTATAAGCGTGACATCCGTTCTAAAAATAAAAGAAAAAAGACGCTTTGGAATCACGACAGGAAGCAGGGGAGACGTCCGCTGCAACGCGAAGATATCAAGTGCGCGCCCGACGATATCACGAGAAACAAACGACGTTGCACTCACAGTTGCGGCAGCAGCAGCAAAAGATGGAGCCGAATCAGCGGACATCCACGGGCAGCTCTTCGAAATTGGGACACTAGCTGCGCCGAACAGAGACCCTACACAAGCTCTGAGTTGAAGGTTTTCACGGGCCTCAGACAGGCCAGGGTGACGGCGCCGCTCGCTGACGCACGGTCGGCCGCAAACGCAGAGGAAGGCAGGCGTCGGGACTGCGCAAGCGGAAAGCGGTCGTTCTGTTATTCATTTTTTGCTTCCATACAGATATTGCTCCCTTGTCCGAGGCGCCACACGCGGCTTTTGCCGTTCGGGACTCTACGATAAGGCCTACTCGGAGTTCGTTAGCTCGGAATGTGGGCTACGGCTGCCCTTCCAGTGATAGTCGCACACGGCGCAACAACACCGAAGGCTGAAACTTCAGCCGCAGCTTCAGATAGGATCCTAGATTGACGAAAATCATTGTAAAGCCTTCAGCTACGTCGTCTCTCTGACGTGTGGAATTTCAATCAATCAATCAATCAATCAATCAATCAATCAATCAATCAATCAATCAATCAATCAATCAATCAATCAATCAATCAATCAATCAATCAATCAATCAATCAATCAATCAATCAATCAATTATTGCTGAGCCTTTGATCACATCTTACAATCTTGGTACACTGATGTACAAACTTACTCATATGAGTAAATATTACACGCAACGTATTCATATTTGGTAAAGCGAAACGCCATAAATGAGACTCCCCTCCCCCTCTCGCCGACACTCCCACACAAGTGAAAGGAAGCAATACCGACGGAAAAACAGTGGAGAAACCCTTACACCGTCTGCCTTACTTTTTCCTTTTTTTTTGGTTCCCTCTGTTGTGCATCATCACAGGAAATGAACCCGTCCATGACAATATGCCGCCTAAACCACGCCTGCAGACGGTGCCGAATGGTTCTTCTTTGTTGCTTCACACTCTAGCACTGTGCCAGCCATCGCTAATTTATAACACTGTACTAACGATGCCGTTATACAGTAGGAAGACCATCATGACTGCTCTCAAAAGCGTTAAAAAATATACGATAGAATTCGATCGATAGATAATCCCCGTATTTATGTTCTACGGGAGCGCTCTACAAAGAAGACAAAAAATGATTAGAAGGTGAGGCTAATCCTTGGGTTAGGCTGCATAGTAGGGGCACGCACTCGACAGCATTCATGTGGCCTGGTCTATGCCAGGTGTATTTTTTTTTGTTAAGCATGAACGAAAGTAGGGTAAATCTCAGGGCTGGTTTTTCTGTGTTAGAAATAATATTAATGATAACTGACACACAACGAAGCGAAGGAATGTAATACTTGGCCTTTAAATTTACATTTCTTTCCTTCATTTGTAGAAGGCCTGTTTCTGGCAGGCTTGATGTCTGCCGGTTGTATGCGAGGAATTAATTATTAGTCAACCACCTGCTCGTAATAAGATCACGTGCTACGCGACGCCAACAGGCAAAATGAAAAGTGTTGCACACTTGCTGTAATGTCTACTAGCAGCGCTGACTAACATTCCCACGTCTAAATGCACATATATACGCTATAAAGTGGACAAAAGGATGACCACCACCGTAGCTCAGTGATTCAGAGCATTGGACACGTTATTCGAAGGCCGCAGTTTCGGTCCGGACCAATGGAAAGTTACATTTTTATCTACTTTTCTTTCTCCCCATATTACAATACTATTACTACTAATGATCATCGTGGAACATTTTACAGCGCAACAACTTGCCCAACTTGTGATTCTACTACTAATGGCATTCCCAATTAAGTTCCTTGACATCATTGTCGGTTAGGGCTCATTAATATTATGTCAAACTCGTGCCGCGTACGCTGTCGAAGCGGATTACGTATAGGTCGTGTTGAAAGAATGGCACGGTTGAGATCTGTTCTGTCAGATAACCCAATTATCCTAGCTGCTCACTAGAACGGTGCCTGTTCTTTCAATGAACTTATTCAAATTATTTTGTTAATTATTTTCAATGAGTCAAAAGAATTTGATTTCTTTTCGAGAAATAATTGGCAATTATCTCCAAATAAACGTAGCCCCGATATCGTGAGTGTCCCATATATCTCTTAATCTCTTAGGTTGAACCACAACCATCGGTACTAAAAGACTGGCCCTGAAAAGACGGACAGAGGCAATGAACCGGGGCACCACAAACACCGCCTAACAACTGCGAATGCGCACAACAGAGATAATAAAACTTAGAAGGCACGAAAACTTGTGTGCGCATGCCCAGGTGTTAGACCATACCTGTATTTCACCCTCAGGACACATGGTAGTCTATGTGAGAGGTAACTGTTGAATCACTTGATTCCTTTTTTACAAAAGGTAATGTAACGTTGGTGCACGGATGCGCTGCCGCTATTGTAGATATACCACGCATCAACCATTAGACGCATTCCACCATTCCTGTGTCTATACAAAAGTGTGAATGGATTGAATTTCGTTGTGCTTGCGCTTTCGACAAAGTAAAGACAGATTAAGATGGCGAGCCTTTGGTTAGCGATTCCTTATGTTTCAATAATATCTGCGTAATACAGCAGCCGGTCTGCCCTGTGTAGAAGCGACCGCCGTAAAGAGAAACCTGGTACACCACACCAGCCTGCAGTAAGGGAACATGTTAGTTTGTTTCACGAAACAAATATCGATCCGCTTCTTGTCATTATGCACGCGTTCTTTCTCTAAGCAGAGGCACGTGTTTCACCTAGATTTTTGAAGCCGTATGTACATCTCCCCGTTCTTAAGCCTGTGAGGTATGCAATGAGTGAGCTTCCCTGAGTAGACGATTCCTTAAGACACTCGCCTTCAAATGGTGGCTACGCGTGTTCGAATCTCGGTTTACCAAGAAGTTAAAGAAGTATAAAGAAGAAACTCGGTTTACCAAGAAGTAACTGCGGCGATGGTGTAGTGGTTAGAGCATCCGCCTCGCATGCAAAAGGTCCGTGGTTCAAATCCCGGTGCCGCGCAGTTCCCAACCACATAAAAAAAATCCGCGTGGTGATAGAACTGCATTAAGAGGCCTGCGGTGCGGCCTCACCGGTAACTACCGCCGGTAACGCACTCCCTCACCAGAGAAGGATTGGCCACCCTGGTGCAGTATTTGGCCACTACCTCCCACATACATACGTCAGTTAAGAAGTATGAAGAAGTAATTGCTCAGGTCCTTCCTCAGTTAACCTCTTCCTCTTAAAGAAGAAACCAAATGCATTAACAGTTATCTCTCACGTATAAACCACCACGCAAAATATAGGCATCGCCTAATGCCCAGGCATGCGGAAAAAAGTTTTCGTGACTGCTTTATTCGCAGTCGTTACTCTTGTTTGTGGGGTATATTCTATTTGTGTTTTTTGCACGTACGCTCTTTCAGCATGAGCACTTACCAACTCACTCGGCCTTCTGTTATTCGAAGTATTACCAATTTCGCAACCAACTATAATTTTTTACAAACCTTTTTTTCTGAATATTCAGCAAACCGGAAGTAAGTGCTCAACCGGAAGTGATTAAAAAGATACTGGCCTATCACTCGTTGCGTGTGCTACTATAGAGGGTAAAGCGCGACACAGCTATGGTTCGGAAGCCGCGTGGCCCATGCACTGTGCGCATGCGCAAATCGCGGATGTACGTATACGTACACGCGTTTCCGTACTCAATGCCGCACGCGGATATTCGGTAGTGTTTAAGTGCAACAGCTCGTCATTCGCCACGTGGGGTCAAAAAAATGTTCAGTGAGCTATTTCTGGTCAGTGTATGCATGAATATCTGACGGTGCTGAAATCACGAGCACAAGAATAACACGAAGACAGGACGAGCAATCACTTTCAACTGTTTACTTTCTGGAGACAATAGGCATATCAAGGAGCTTTTTCATGCTGATTTGCTACGGACGTTTTCACTTTCCTTGTTTTTGTAATTCTCACTTTTCTAAAAAAAACACGCACGTTTGGCATGTGTTTTGAAATGAACCTTCACAAGTCTGTTGTTTTCAGGACATGAATGCAGTTGAAGGTGAAAGCTTGTCCAGTCTGTGCATGTTTCTTTCTTTTTTGATCGCGCGATCCTGTGTTCTTTCTTTGTGACTGACGCTCGCTCGCTCGCTAATAACACTGAACATGCGTTAGCTAGACCAGCAGGAACTCAATATTGTCGTGTGTTTCAGGGGCAGAAAGCATGGTACGACAATGGTGCACGCCGTACCAGACAACTCCGTATCAATTTTGACCTCCCCTGTCTCTCTCATGCATGCCCTAAACGCTGAACGGTACACGTCTGTTCTTTTGTTTAGCCTCTACCTAAACGCGTTGGCTATGGTCAGAAATCTAACCCGTGCCCTCAAGATAATTCTTTCTCTATTTTTAATGTGTGTGTGGGCGGGAGGTGGGAAAAAAGGGGGCGTTGGCTTAGCAGTCCTAAACCTTACCTGCTAAGCTATCACAGCTGTTCGGTATATAGCAAGTACCACATTCTTCGAGAACAAATGCAAATCTAATGAGCCTGAGTGTGATTAAATTACCGAGTCTACCTTTGCTTGAGTATCAAGTTCCTTGGCCATCCAAAGTTCAACGACCTTGTTAAGCAGTCTGTATTATTAGGTTAACCTGTGTTTTCTGGTGATATACTTATTTTGAGGTGTGGCATTATTTGTTAAAAAGGAATAGAACCATATAGCCTTATGGTCATTAGACGTTTACTATAAACATTTCAATGATTACAAACACTGAACTTTATTGGACCAGTTATCTGTGTTAAGAGCCGTGAAGACTGCCATTTTAAACATCGCTCTGAAATTTGTATAATAAAATCTTGCTTCGTTTTAAATAAATCGGCTTTCATAAAAAAAAACTGCTTTCCTCGGGCACCTCTCGCAGGAAGCGATCTTATAACAATGCTAACGCTAATATTGCTAAAGGTCGGCTGCACCATAGAAACATCTCGATCAATCACTGACGACGACAAGAGTGGTAGCAAAGAACGCTGAAGTGCTTCGTTGTGCAATGCCCGTGCACTCGACACAGTCATGCGTTACTGTGTCCCCAAATCTATTGTGTTTTAAATAGCGTAGGTTTGAACTCGCATCGCTTTGCCGAAGGTACACTTACCATTGCACAATGGCGTTGGGAATGAGAAGTGGAGATATTAAAATCACGCTCAAAATACC